AATTGAATTATGTAATTTATTATTTTTGAATGTTCAAGCGGGTTATACGTTTATACATTTATTTTTGTTTCAATTATAGATTTCAGATATACGTATTCCAAAAATTGGTGTCTGCCAAGTCCTGTGTAAGGTCTTGTTATGGAAAAGATGGTGATGTGTAATGCCTTTTTGGGCCCAATGTGTGATAGTAAAGAGGAGTGGTGCAGAGTTTAAAGTCTGGGTTGTGCCAAATAGAAGTGTATTTACATGGTTTTGGGGTGGAGTTAAATATCTTGATGACTTTCCACCAGGCTGTCAGAGTTGTTAAGATGGAAGTATTTTTAAAGCCGAACAGTTGTGCCTTGATTGATCAATTTAGTGAGGTATTGTAGTTGGGTGGCTGTGGCTGAGGGGTAGAGTGGTCATCCTCCAACCAGATTTTGGATTTTTCCAATAGGAATGTGAAATGAGAGGGTTAATAGATTTGAACCATTTATCTGTCGGTGCGATGGGCAGCATTGAGAAAAGGAGATTAATGTGTGGGAGTATTTTCATTTTGACAATTGTAATTTGTTTATTTAAATGAGTTTAACCATCATTAGGCTCTTTATATATTCAATTTCTGCCAATAGATCTTTTTCACCTAAATCTTACACACTGAGCCTTAAGGGATGGTTTACCAAAAATTCACTCATTATCCAACCAAAATGAGAAGGGGTGTTGCTTTAATTGCTTCACCAGCTTGTGCTGCCCTTACAGCCGTCACGTAGCAACAGATATATGGACAAAAAAGTTATTTGATTGATTATAATCGCTGAATTTTTTTAATTTTTTAACATGTGTTCTGTTTTACTGTTCAGTTGAATACTAATTAATAATTAATTCTGATGTTTTCGCCTTACTTGCTGCTGCTTCTTACCTCTTTGAAAAAGTGTTTGTTACAGAAGCACAATGAATCATGATGTGTTGGGCCAGGAAGGATCATCCAGTTGGAGCCTCTGTTGCTCAGGGGAGGAAGGATGCATTTGTGGGATGTGTTTCAAAGAGCCTTCAAATTTGCACAGTCTAGTCACGCTGCTCTGACGGAATCTGTCTTCAAATGGCATCCAAAGGATACAGTCCAAAAATTAAGACACAGCTAGAGAGACCAGGAACAATTGTGTAACCATCATATTTAAGCTCTGTCAGACTGGTTATTATAATGAAAATGATCAGAATGATTCTGCCCCTCATAAAAAAAGTGCTGCCCATAGATGCACAGTATGTTAGAGAAGTAGAAAAGCTAAAGAGAGAAATTGCAAAGGATGGAGTTGAAGAACTTACATCGGAAATAGTATTTACCATTGGAATAGGGAGTATGCTCCTTAGCCGAGGGAGAATTGGACAAAAGAAATTAATGTGGCCGAGATGACTCTGATTTACTCTCCAACACAGTAGGTTGCCATCCACCACCAGACTGAACAATGAAAAAGGAGAAGCTATCAAATTTCAAGGGTAATAAGAGATACAGTACCGAATGGGGAAGAGGAAGTAGGATATTGAAACACACAGTGGATGGTGGTAATGCACCTTGACTTAGTTTGCCACCTGCCAATAAACTAAATGAAAAAGAAGGAAGATGCGGTATATGTATTAACCCGCCAGTGGCCCGAGCAGAGAAGAAGATGAAGACACAGTAGATGGCGGCAATGCACATTGAAAAGAAAATGCTTTGTGTTGTGACTGCTTGTCCCTGTTGTCCTCAGTCTGCAGTTTAACAGCCTGGGTCCTGAATCCTGCATCCTTCTGAGAGATCTGCTACAAGATCCAAAGAGCTCTATTAGATCCCTACAGTAAGAGTACACTTTAATTCATGTCTTTATCTTTTTTGGAATATGGGGTCTAATGATCAAAATAATTTATTTGAATATGTTGTATGTAAAAGCAACAATTAAAAAGTGTACAGCTTACTGTATGTGGGGTCTCTTTTTTTCTTGTTTGATGGTGGCTCAGCTTCTCAACACCCTTGAGGACTATCTTCATGTTCAGGGCGTTCTGAACTCTGTACTTCTGTACTCTGCACAGTGCCATTCAACCTTGACAAACATTACAAATAGAAAAGGAGCCCATTACAACAGTTTTTACATCAATTATTATTTAGCATCATAACAAAAGATACATGAAGTGATATTAGGTACTTTTTATTCATCTTTAATTCAGCTCAAACCCTATATTACAGTCAAAAGCTTTTCAAAGTGTGAGCTGTTTTTAAGAAAATGTCAAAAACATTATTTGGTGTAGTAGTCTCAGTGCTGTAAAACATCTTCAGGTACTGCATGTCAAATACAAATACACATAATATATTGTACCTTTGCTTCTCAGCCATGTGCCATGATACCATCTTTGCAGATATGGTAGCCTGTATGATGAGATGGTTTGTGGAGGGTCTGCATGGCATCCCATATTGTAGAAACATGTCTTTAGCCGCTATGTAATGTGATACTGAATAGCCTGTAAAAATGTCCAAACACAACCCTACTAACATGGCTAACCAGTCTTGTGTATGTATGTAAACAGCCAGCCTAGTTTAAGCAGCGTCCTTTGCTCCAGTCTGGTTAGCCTATAGCTTCTTCCCGTTCTAATGATGTACAGCATGGTCACACTGTCAAAACTTTATTTTGTATGTTACCTCATCAGCTAGCTGGCAATGAGGCAGATGCTAGCAGAGTAAACAGAGGCCTACTTGAAGTACGACCGACTTTAACATTTCAGATTATCAATCAAAGACACTCATACATTCACCTCCACACTTTACCACTGCTCAATATTTTGAGATTGATCACCATATTTCTACACAGTTTTTGGGTAAAGTTGCTCTACAGCTGTTTGAAGTGAGAAAACAACACAGCAATGTTCGCAAGCGAGCTACAACCAACAACTCTGCTCTCTGTACTAGCCACCTTGTATGTATCAAACCAAACAAATTCAAAGCTAATAAATCATATAGCATATTTTTTAGAGGCCTTTATTTATCTTAAATTATATCCTTTACACTTTTCTGGGATTTAATTTCCGTAAGCTAAGATCACTGTCCTTACTGTCCATTTTTCAACACTCAACATCTTCAAGGTTTCTCATTATTGACATTTTCTGAAACTTTTAAAAACCTCTTAGAACCACAACAGTCAAATATGCCAGACATGTCTGTGTCCATAGACTGCTAGACATTAGCAAAGTTTATGAAGCGGCCATGGTCAGGTTGCCCTAGGTTCAGCATGCTGTATGTACTTTACAGTATTGCAGAATACTGAGTGTCCTATTCCTACTATTTTCTGAGTATTTGTTTGAATTCTACCAGTCTGTTTGTGTTATCAGGCCCTAGCTTGACGTCATCACTGGCATGCACACTGTGTTCTGACTAGGAATGTCTCATTATTACAATGTTTTTTTCAGACTGTGTGACAATCCTCTGCTGGAGTCTGGAGCCTGCATTCTGCTGAAGGCCCTACCAGTGAACCAGTCCCTGATACACCTTTCCTTGATGCATACTGGGCTGGGGGACCAGGGGGCCCTAGAGCTGGCTGAGAGGCTCCAGGAGCATAAGGGGCTCCAGGAGCTAAATGTAGCCTATAACAACATTGGAGACAGTGCTGCTCTGGCTCTGGTTGATGCCTGCAGGGAACACCCCAGCATTCACACTTTACAGTGAGCAGCTCTTTACTCAATCCACAGTTGTATATATTCATTTCATTTCACTCAAACAAACTCATGGTCTCTTGCTCTTAACGTCAATGTCACCACATTCTGAAGGTTGTTCAATGAGAGGAAGCAAGTTCACATTATGAACCTAATAAGTTCAATGAAATGCCCTTGTGTGAATGCCCCTTCATACACATAATACATAATATTGTTGTCTTTGTCTATCTGATAAGGCAGTGCCCCAGACAGAGGACAATTTTGGGACATTACAAGTATTCAAAGAAAAAGAAATCAAATTTTCAGTGCATTAACAATATAGAAATGAATTGTCCCAACATTACTGAAGGCAGTTCTCAATGTCTAGAGGTGTAGTCTTGATATTTAGTACAAAAACTAAAATATGTAGTCCAAGAACTATGTACTGCTAGCTCATATTTGGTCATTTCCCAGCCGGGTAGACTGTAGAATGATTTGTCAATATACAACATCACTGAATATGTTTACATCCTTTCATTCTGCCAGGTTTTCTGGATGGAGTGTGCATGTTCTCCCCTTATGCATGTTTTTTTTTTTCTGGGTACAAAAGCTTCCTCCCACATCCATGCATGGATGGATGGATGGATAAATGTTATGACATTGCAGTTAAATGTAGATCTGAGTGTATAACTGCCTTTCCTGCAGGAATGTCTGCAGAAGTAAATCTAATAAGCAGGTGAAAATGAACATAAATTCCTCATATTTTCTCCTTTGTACTTTGTTATCCTATATTTGGATACATTTTGTATAAACATTAGATTAATTCATGTATTTTGTAAATGTTAATGTAGTTTGTGTGTATATGCAGCTAACATTAAACTTTGCTATAATATATACAGTATATTAGACAAATATTAAACATAGTTTTTTCTAAACATAGTTAGGAGCAGGGCTTCTATGAGCCTGGACGTCACCCATAGAATTTTAACAGTTATCAGTTAGCAATGGCAATCCAACACATGGATAATTAATAATAATACTGTTTAAAAGACAGACTGCAATGTTCACGATGCATATTAGCCATCACACATGTGATGCTTGTCTTTGTCTTTGTAGTGTGTATCTGAACTCCCTCAGTGATGTGGGGAAGCAGTCCTTGTATGTCAGAGGTGTTCCAAGTCACAGCGGCAGTAGCCGGAGAGTCAAGGTCCTGGCTTCAGTCACTGAAGGCTCGGATATTTCCGAGGACTGGCACCCCATCCTCAGCGTCATACGAAAGAACACCTCATCCTGGGACCGCCAACGTGTCAAGCAGCAGCTCCAGGTACTCATTCATAGTAACAAACAGAACCCATCAAACCCCTTAATAGGGCTGTAACAATTGTCAACCCTAGACCAAAATCGCGGTCCAAATGACCACAGTTCCGTCTTCTGGAATCGTGATACTTCTTCCTACAAAACCCCACACACTGCCAAAGCAGCAAGTGCAGCCTGTTTAGCTCTCGTTACGTTACTAATGTAATAAAATGTATTTTTCTTTTCACAAACAACACTATAACACATGAAACTGTGAATGGCACAAAAGTTATTAATTATTGTATTTAAAGTTGGCAAATATTGCACATCACACCTGTAGCGACCAGTGTTGGATCACGTCACCACCCAAATATCAGAGAATGTATTCATGTTCTCCACAGTCACAACTACAATCATTCAATAATCCAATCACAACTCCAGACTGCAGCCCTGTGTAATCTGAACCAACACACAGAATTGAGTAATAGCTTCAGAGCAATTAGTGTAGGGGTTGGAGAGGAGAGACTGAGAGGATTGTGTTTTACCTTTGTAAAAGGTAGTCTTGATGACCACTAAAAGCACTTTACAGTTAAAAAAAAATTGATATTCACTCGTTCACGCACACATTCATACAGCGCATCTATGGGCAATTTGGGGTTCAGTATCTTGCCCAAGGACACTTCGGTATGCAGTTGGGGAAGACTGGGATCGAAGCACAGACCTGCTGGTTAGAAGGAATACCTGCAAATCTGGAACTTTAACTTAATTGTATAACTTATACTGTATAACATATAACTCACCTTTTTTAAGTAGACTTTTGGGGATTTTTATTGCCTTTAATTGATAGGCGGAGAGCAAACTGTGAAAGGGAGTCAGAGAGAGAGTGGGGGAGGACAGTGCACAAATAGCCATGGGTCTGAACTGTACCATGGCCTCTGTGGGTTGAGGCACTGCCTCGTTGGGGCAGCAGCTCTACCAGCTGAGCTATATGCCGCCCCCATATAGCTCACCTTTGATATCAGATATTCAGTAGTGTTTGTTTTTGTGACCAGGGGTTCGAATCTGTATTAATTAATTTTTTTAAATTTTTATAGATACAAAGAATCTCTGTACAGTCACTTCTCCCCCACTTGTAATAACTCATACTGCACCTGGCACTCTTTTTCTGTTGAAAAACTAAGAATTTATTAGTGAAAAATTTACTTCTAAGTGAACTATATTCTGTATTTGTCACGGTTATGGTTTTATTTGGTCATGGTTATGGTGTTTTCTGTCACTGGTATTGTATTCTGTCACGTTATGGTGTATTTTGTCACGGTTATGTATTTTGTCACGGTTATGTATTTTTCTACGTTCCTCTAATGTTCCCTCCTGTGTTCCTCTCATGTTCCCTTCTGCCTTCCTCTGTGCTCCACCCTGTGATTCTCCTGTGTTGTTCTCTGTGTCCCTCTCCTGAGTTCCCCTCCTTGTCCCTCGCTATGTTCCACCCTGTGATTCTCCTGTGTTGTTCTCTGTGTTCCCCTTCTTGTCCCTCGCTATGTTTCACCCTGTGCCTCTCCCGTGTTCATCCCTGTCTTGGCTATTGTATTTTGTTCTCGTTGTTAAGTTTGTTCAGTGTTTCCTGTTTTATTTTGTAGTCCTTGCTCCCTGTGTGTTTTCACCCTTTGACTTCCTGCCCTCATCAGGTTCACCTGTTTGTTTTGTGCCACCTGTCCCCAGTTACTCATTAGTTCAAGTGTGTATTTAAGTCTTTGTGTTCCCCCCATGTGATGGTTGGTTCGGCAATTCTTGTCATGTCCTGTTCGTGGTCTATTCTAGTCATGTTCATGTGTCACCTCTCGTCACGTTTCCCCGTAAGTAGATTCCTGTCCTTACTTGTTCCACTCCTATTTGTTGAGTGCGACTTTTGTTTCTTGAAGATTTCTTTTGTTACTTTTACCATTTAAATAAAAGACACTTTTTGTTAAACAATATTTAGTTCTCGTTTTGGTCCTTCCCTTCCCTTTTTTCCTACCACGTTCATTCCCTCCCCACACCTCCAGCCCTGACAGTATTCTGTGTTTTTGCACTGTACAGTGTTATGTTTTTAACTTGTTCCTTAATATATTTTCTTTTTAGTTATAATCTCTTTTTCTTTATGTATAACTATGCCTGATTACTTGGACTGTCTTTTTGTGTCCAGTTGAGCCTCTTGTACTTTTGTCCTATTTGTGTCTGTGTGATAGAATTGTGTAGGACCGTCTGTGAATCTAAATGACCTCCTTTAATATTGAAATCAAGATGTACTTCGTGTCCCCATGCAAAATAATGTTTTGGACACTGCAGTTAGGCAAAACCAGTTCAGAGTAACACAACAGAAAAAACACATGTCAGAAAAAGTGTTGCCCAACCACAGACAAAATCATAATTAAGAACAGTGTTAACTGTAAAGCATGCAGAATAAGACACTTCTCAAACATCCTCTAACCAGAAGGTCGGTGGATTTATTCCCAGTCTTCCCCATCTGCATGCTGAAGTGTCCTTGGGCCAGATACTGAGCCCTGAATGGCCCCCTAGAAAAAGTGTTGCCAATAGATGCACTGTATGAATGTGTTTGTGAATAGGTGAATATAAAACGGGGAAACTCCTTCCCCCGTTTTCTTTGCTCACCCCAACCGGTCGAGGCAGATGATCGCCCACATTGAGCCTGGTTCTGCTAGAGTTTTCTCCCTGTTAGTGAGGGAGTTTTTCCTCTCCACAGTCGCCAAAGTGCTTGCTCATTGTGGGAACTGTTGGGTTTCTCTATATTTAATACGATTTTAAGGTCCTGTAAAGTGTCTTGAGATAATGTATATTATGATTTGGTGCTATACAAATAAAATTGAATTAAAGTGCTTTGAGTGGTCATCAAGACTGAAGCACTATATAAATGTGGTTGTGCACTCATCGTTCAGCTAAAATCTAAAATGGAGAACATGGTAAAAACAGCTATGAAGGTGATGGGCAAAAAGGAATATCCTTCCTTCAGACCACATATTAAGGTTCAGTGGTCAGACTAGCACAAAGGATTGTTATCGACCTGTCACACATTATGTTCTCTGAATTTGACTGGTTACCTTCAGGCAGAAGTTACTGAGCCTGGTAGTGTAAGAACAACAGCCTTGAGCTGTCATTCATCCAAACGTCCATCACACTACTCAATAATGAAACATGTCAATGCTATGTATCTCAATAACCTTTGCACTTTGTCTGGCACATTTTAGACTCTGGTTTTTAGGTTTCAATGCCATTTTTAATTTTCACATTTTATACGTTCTATCCTTTTACTGTTTTAGGTATTTTTAAGGGCAGGTGTAATATTCTACTCACTTTTATTCTGCATTATTATTCTGGGTCTTACACAATATGTCGATGTGTACTGTTTTTTTGTTGTTGTACAATGTTCTGTTCTGCAACTGCTGTAGCACTTTGGCCCAAGAAAAATTTCCTCATTGGGACAATAAAATATATAAGATTTGATTGATTGATTGATGTGAGGTAGTACCCTGTCTCTCTTTGTGCAGGTCTTCCTCAGGGATCTGGAGTGGGGGCGTCAGCAGCAGCAGAACTTCTGGAAGAGGTTGCACTTCCGTAGGGTGGAGATGGGGGTCCGAAAAACTCTGCAGATGCTAGAGAAGGACACTCAACCTCAACCCAAAAAATAATTTAAAGAAAGAGCAATACAAATCCTCAGCAGCATTTTACATTTAGGCCTATGTACAAACTGACTGCAAGCCTTGACATTCATATTCAAACAAGCACATTTTATTTGTATGGCTATACATATATTACATATATTATCACAAATCACAATGTGTTTCATAGGGCTTTAACAAGATGTGACATCCTCTGCCCTTAACCCTCAACAAGAGTAAGGGAAAACTACCAAAAAAGGAGGACATTTTTTCCCAGGAAGACAAACACAGACATAACCCACTCTATACTGCCTATGATTGACTTACTCTGATATACTTATCCTTACTAACCAATCACCACTCATACCAATCTTACCTGAACCAAAAAACCAACAAGTACTGTGATTAAGTTTACTTTATATATTATCTCTGCTCATGTTAACTATTTCTGCCTTTTTAACTGCCAAGATGACCCTTGATGACCTGCCTTACAGCAGATCCACCAGGGATCTGTCTCTGAAAGGTCCCTGACATCAGAACACCAGATCTGGAACTCACTGAGCTTGTCTCCTCCACAAAGACCTTGAAGAGAACCTCAGTCTGTTTCTTATATCCTGGGATTTCACCTTTCACTCTCTTCGAATGCTAGGATCACTAAGGCTGCATAAAAGAACACACCAGCGAATACCTATGCAGAATGCTTGCTTTCGCATACTGTATGATTGTCTGACCTTCCTTGCAATGAATAAATTACACTTAAAAGACTATTATTCTCAGATCTTTTTATTTCAGAAGCCTTTCCATCCAAGGGGCTATTGTGAGTAATGGTAGAGTAGGCATACAGTTTGTCAAGCAGTCTTGTTAAAATGAATAGTCCATGATCAACTGTCACCACAATCAGAATCCACTATCAGCTGCCACCTGGATCTTGATCCACCACCGCTTTCCACGATCAGATGCCAACAGGATCTGCATTCCGACATCATGATCAATGCAGTGTGCATTGGACTTCTGGGGGTTTCATAATACTAAACTGCTTGGATTTAGGCTGAGTATATTCTTTAAATAAGCTTCTCTGTGAGAATACTACTGTATCTACTGTCTTAGGTTAACTAGATTGCTTGTTTGTACTGTTTTGTCTTACCTTGAATTGTATGAGCTAGGATTTTGTTTTCACTCAAGTGTCTGAGAGTTGAAGAGAACCAGCTAGAGTTAAATTGCTTTTATTTTATCTCAGTTCTGTCAAGGGCTAAGTTCTATTTTAATTTCTACCAGTGAGGTAAATGGACTTTGTCATTAATCCATTTTTGGTGAATTATGAGATTTTGTTAAACTCACTTTTTCACTGAATAAGGTGAGAAGTGCCTTGTGGCTGTTGAGCTCTGCTGAGTTTCTATTGCTGGGCCATCAGCCATTACCAGGTGTGTTCAGCACAGCTGTAGTCAACCATCATTGACTCTGGTGTTTAAACACCAGGATTTGTTTGAAGCGTTAGCTTCAGCGTCAGTGAAGACTCGTCAGATGAAGACTCGGAGGATAGAGACAAAGGAGTCTTTCGTTGAACTCTTCAAGGGAGGCTGAGTATAAAAGTGCTCTGTTACCTGTATCATTTCAATATGTGTATACTTTCTGTATATCTCCCCGTAGATACTATAGGCATGGCACCCGCTCACAACATTACCGCAACCTTTCCTCTCTTATCTATCCCACTCATTCCACACACACCCAACACCTTGTCACAGGGGGGCTCTGGAACTGCCAGTCAGCTAGACAGACTTACTCCTGAACCTTTGTTTACCAACGTTAGCCTTGACATCTTTGGACCATGGTCTATTATGAAACGTCACACAAGAGGAGGAAGTGCGTAGAGCAAACGCTGGGCTGTGCTCTTTACATGCATGTTAACTAGAGCTGTGCATATTGAACTGATCGAAACCATGTCAACTGACAGTTTTATCAATGCTCTGAGGAGGTTTTTCTCTATTCGTGGTCCAGCAAAACTTCAGCCGTCAGACAGAGGGACAAACTTTGTGGGGGATTGTAAGGAGTTGGATATGAACACAGATGACACAACGGTCAGGAAGTATCTCCAGGAGAAGGGATGCTTTTGGGTGTTCAATCCTCCTCATGCTTCCCACATGGGTGGATCCTGGGAGAGGCTCATCGGAGTCGCAAGATGCTTCTAGATGTAATGCTGCTTCAGACAGGACCAAAACGTCTCACACATGAAGTCCCTCATGTCCATATCCACTGACTCTGACACTGATAATCCTGCAATACTCATCTCAGCAATGCTCCTTAGTCAAAAAATTAGTGCTGTTGTAGCCCCTTCTGGAAACTTTGGCATGGCTCAGTTGTACAGAAAGCAGGTTCACATTTCGGAAGAGATGGAGTGGGAGTACTTGTCTACTCTACAGAGCCGCAGGAAGTGGACAAATGCCAAGCCGAATATCAAAGAAGGAAATGTTGTCCTACTGAAAGACAACCAGGCCCACAGAAATGAATGGCCAATGGGACTGGTCGTTAAGGCTTTGTCAAGCAGTGACAAGAACGTCCGCAAGGTGGATGTGTGGATTGTGAAGGATGGGACAGCCAAGGTGTTTCTAAGGCCAGTCTCAAAGATTGTAGTCCTTCTTTCAGAGACTTTCAGAGACTAGTTAAAAAGTGTGTTAAGAAGTAAAAAAAAAAGTAAGTGCTCTGTTCTCTGTTAGTGCATGAAAACGGCATCAGTGTGAGTACTCTGTACTCTTTTTAGTCTTCAGAAATAGCATCAGAGTGATTGCTCTCACTGCTCTATCCCCGTGCGCATCTTCCCTGTTCCTTCAGCTCTGTTTCTTCAGCTAGCTCCATATTTCTCTAGTTAAGCTCAGACAAGATATACAGTTACAAATTCATAGTGTTGCTGAGATATTTTTCTGATATGCTTCTGCCGTGGAAAATATTGGTAAGTAGTATGTGTAAGCAATGTCATGTTAGAAACTTCTTGATTGAGCCTTTTGATAGCTGAAAGCTCTGGCTCCTACTCTACTTTTAGAAACTTCATGGAAGACAAGTAAGCCTGAATTCTGAGATGATTTCCTCCTGATAGGTTCCCCTTAACACATCTCAGGCACTTTCCTCTCCAAAGTTAAACTATGATTTCAATCCCTCGGCGTACCTCTGTCAGATGAAAAAACAATAGGCCCAGACACGTGTCTGGAAATTTTCAGCATCACACTGGACCCCATGGAAATGAAAGCACCCCTCGCGATCAAAAGAGCGTCAGCTGCTCTCCCTCTTAGGTCAGCTTAACTCATTATGCTCATCATCCTTCAAGGGCGCTTCTTCAAGTCTCGTCTATTGGACATGGCATCTTCCATCCCAAATTTACATGATCATTTATTGCGGGTGCTGATCCGACCTGTTTCTTGTCCCGATGGCTCGATGCTGTAATGGTATCACTTTCTTCTAAAAAGATTGTGCATTCCTCTGATACTCTGCAGTTATTCACAGATGCCACCCCATCTGTGGGTTTTGACAAGACAATAAAGTTGTTTTTATTATGACAGCGTGTCACATGCCCAGGCATTACAATACTCTGATAATGATAGAAACACCGTCCTTTTGAATCAAAAATCTCTACAACCCTTATCTCTGTAAGTCATGCGTATAACTGGTGGTGGATTTGAAATAAAGTATAAAAGTGGTGCTAGCAATGTAAGTAACCTCTCATTTAAACATGCACTTTCTTCTGAACTTCACACCTGACTCCCCTCACTTATTGTATACATGGTCTTTGTGATGTTGCATGGTCTTTGGACCCTTATACAGGCTTTGCAACGTATGTGTTGCACAAGGTATTTTACTTTCAGTCCTAAAGACCTTAATTTTTTGTTTGTCAAGATGACTTAATTTCTGTTGCGGTCACTGTACCAATTTTATAGTTTCTGTTGGCATTTTATATTATTTGATCTTGGACCTTAATTTCTCTTCAGTCGAATGATCTTTTATTTGAGTTCAGTCCTCGCTGACCTTTTCCTTTTTTCTGAATTCTTGCCCCCCATCCAACACTCATTTTATTATACTTTCCATCCTTAGAACCTAAATTTCTGTTTGTCAAGCTGAATTAATTTCTGTTGCGGTTGCTGTACCAATTTATAATTATATTTTTATAATTAGATAATAATAATAACACAAAGTTGACATAACTGCACTATGCGTCTTCCAATCGGCACCAATGACCTATGATCAAAGTCCCAGTCTGAACAGCTCCATGTGTCAATATTAACTCAGGGTCATAGCGCCACTGACTTATCAACATTAAAATGAAGTTGTTGTAACTCCACATTCTTACAGAGCAAGTAAGTTATGTGTTGTGAACTCTTTACCATTATCTGACCTCATGTGTTTAATTTTCCCATAAAGTGTGACGTCAGCAATTAACTTTTCTGTAGCTTTGACATTATCAGTTTTTGCTTTAAGGGAATACAAAAACATTAGTTCAGAGTAATCATCAGTAAATGCAATTGCATATTTGTTGTCTATCTCAATCTGTCACAACTCGTCCTTCTTCCTTGAGGCAACTCAACAAAATGTCCTTTCGGTTGAAAAAGTCACATGAAAGTTCTGAAACTTGTTAATGTCTGTAATTTTGTGTGACGTTGCTTCTGTGCCAAACATCAGCCCCTTCAGTTTCAATCTATGGTCCTGGCATTCACTAATATTTAATGCAACCATGTGGTCTTCAGGATCAGTTCCTAGCTTCACATTGTCTTTTCTTTGTTGCCAGCAGTTTGCGTCTTTGTGTAAAGAGTTTTTTCACAAACTACACCACTGTCTTCACTCGCTGGCAGGCCTACAGTCCTGTGCTATATGGCCTTTTTGGCTCACCCGGAGGGCAATTTTTTACTCTCTTCATGTAGCCACTTGCATTTGCCTTCATCGCATTATCATCACTCAAGTCGGCATTAAACTTCTTTATGCTATTGTAGCTCTTCAAATTTGTTTTGAACTCTGCAAAAGTTATCTTTTCATAGCCTTGCATTATGTGGATGGCAAATGGCATAAATGACTTCGGCAAACCTTTTAATATCATGGCAATGAACAACCCATCACTAAGAGTCTCTCTGGCCTTTCTTAGTGATGTGATAGCAGTTTCTGCTAGAACGATCATTAATGATCTGATTACTGACCATCAGTTTGATATACTGTGTCTAACTGAAACCTGGGTTGCGGTAACTCACGGGAGACTGACGAACACAGTGTAGTCTCAATCACATCATCTCTCGTAGTACACAGCACTTATTTTCTTCTTCACATCTGTAACATTCCCAACAGGTAACTCTTCTAATCATTGCCCCCTAGTGGACATGTATATATTGCTCTCAGTTTCCACAGTTATTACAGGGTGCAAAAAGATAATTATGTAGGTTTAAATGAGGTGACACCTCCCACCCATATTTAATCTCATATTATTCTAAGCACAGGCAGAAGCAGGGGGGTTACAGCCATCATATACTGTATCGTCCACCTGCCCCTTACTCAGAATTTGTATCAGAATTCTCTGAACAGTCATTATATGATTTCAACATTCATGTAGATTTTGCCAATGACAGTCTTAGTTCAACATTTAATTCATTAATAGACTCAGTTGGTTTTAAAATATTTAAAAATTACTTTTCCTTTACATTTACATGAGGTACAAAGGTGTGGTGCACCTCCAGCACTTGCAGGAAGATGGACCGAAACCTGGTTTTCATCATTACAAAAGCGTGCACTATCATTGC